GCCTGGTGGCCCAGGTCTGGGAGGGGGCTGCACTCTTCGCGGGCTGGTGCATCTCTCCGCCGGGGAGCCGAAACAGACAGAGCGTCCCCCTCGATGGTGCAAGGGAACAGAAGGACCCTCCCTCTGGCGCCAGTCCCCTGGAACCCCAGCGCAACCTGCCTGCCCCGGCCTAGCCCCGCGCGCACATACACGTGTGCTTTCCACGCCGAGCTCGAGAACTTTCCCCTCACGCCCGTGGCACGTTCGTCCCCCGCCAGGAGAGCCTCGCAGCCCTGCGAGACTCCCCTTCCCCAGCGTGTCTCCCCTCCCCCGGCTGGGGAGAAGGCTGCCGCTTCGGGGCTCCCCGACCGCGTCCTCGTCCTCGGAGGCCGGCGAACCTGCCGGAACCGCGCCGGAGGGATCGGGGAGGGGGGCCCACCCCACCCCGGCGGGAGCGCCCCGAGACCGACCCCGGCCAGGCCTCCGCGCCAGGCTCGGCGGCGGGCTGAGCTCAGAGGAGCTCGTCCGGAGGCAGCTGGCAGCTCCGGGCTCCCGAGGCTCTGGGTGGTGTCCTCCTCCCCCAGCCGGGAAGGGGGCGATTGATCCATCTGCCGGTGGGCCGGGCTCACCGGAGTGTTTTAGTCACGGAATTTACAATAAACGCCCAGGAGGACCAAAAAGGAAGCGTCTGGCTGGGAAAGGGCTGGAGGAGAGGTGAGGCTGCTGACATGTTCCGGCAAGAGCAGGAGAGGCAGTGGGCCTGCGGACACCCGAGGGCACACACCCACGCGCGCCGGGCACCCCAGCTTCACACTCCCCTCCAACATGTCCTCACCTACGTTGGAGCTGCCCCGCATCCCCCGGCTGTCGCGCACACAATCCTTGCACGCAGCTCCACGCGCGCACACACAGTGTGCCAGGGTGGGGTACACGCAGTGCCTCGTAAACTTTCCGCGCTGCCCACAGCCAGATCTGGGCTGCACGTAAGGTGTATTTGGTAGTGCCTTTTAAAATGCATTTTTAACTAACAAAATTCTGGAATACAGTAAATGCTAGAAATCCACTTGAATGCGAAGGGAGGGGTCACTTTCAAAGCCAGCAGCCTTAGCCATTTGGAAAGCTAGGGGGAGCAACTCCCATCTTGCGGGTTTAGGCGGGAAGTCGGCTTCCCCCCAGCCTTGGAAGCGCAGTGTGCGGGTGTCCTCCCAACGCCCCTCTCCTGTGGCCCATCCTTTGTGCGTTCCCCTCCATCCTCTACCCCGGCCACTGAGTGGTGCCTGCTAGAGCCGCTGCCCTCGGGGGCAGTAGAGGATCTGGGTGAGAAGGCCCCTCCCGGCCTGCCCTCCCTGTCATTCCTCCGGCAGCTGCTGTTCTAGGAAATGACTTCGTATCTCACAAGGTCTCCTGGCTTCTTTCTAAAAATGGGGGAACTTAAAGAACCGGCTTCAGACTAGGAGAGTAGGTTAAAAGATGAAAGCTGATAGGAATTATACTGCCAGGAAGTCTTGGCCTAAATAAACTCTCCCTCCCCTCCCCTACTTCCAGGGTCTCTGGTGGTCCAAATACTCCTCACTGCCACCCGTGTTGGTACCCCACGCAAGCCTGCCCTCTTCCAAGGACCCCACTCCAGACTCTACAATTACTGCTCAACACCTCCCTCTCCCCTCCCCCATGAAAAAAGCATTTTTCACTTTCTTTTAACCCCATCTGAGCATAAGGAGGAAAACCCTCTAAACCATATACGAGGAGCTTTGCCCTCCACCCCCTTCCAGGGAAGGTGGCTGACAGAGCCCCAAAGAACCTGCAGGGATGGCTCTCCTGAGTCTCCATGGGGGCTGGAGGCAGGAGAGGGGATTCTGGGAGCCGGAGGTGGAGGTGAGTGGCTGAGACCCTTCTGGGACTCAGGACCACCCAGCCATCACAAGGACAGCAGATAACACCAGCCATCACCACATTGACCCTGTTGTGGCTGCAGGGCACTCTGACCTTGGACCCGCCCTTCCTGTCTATACAAACCTCTCCCACTACACCCCACTTTCTGCCCACCCTAACGATCAACCTGCACTGCTCATAGAAATGATATCGCCCATGTACCACACCATTATTTCCCGAGCATCTGCTATCTATGAGACAGCCCCACCACCTTGGGCTGGGATCTGCAGAGGAAACACAGATAAACATGTACTAGCCAAGAGCAACTTAATCTCTCTGAACCTCAGTTATCTCATCAACAAAATGGAGATTTTTAAAAAAACCAACCTTGTGGAAATTAGATGAGATACTGTACACAAATCAGCTTAGTAAAATGCCTCGCTCATTGAAAGCTGTTCACCCTTTCCTCTGGGATCGAGAGTAAGAATTAGGGACCCATGACAAGGCAATAAAACCTAAGTGGCAAATGAAAAGCAGAGACAAAAAGCTACCAGGGTTCAAGAGAAACAGAGATTTCTTTCTAGAGGACAGAAGATAGAAGCAGTTCTTGTAAGAGGGAGTCCCGGGGAAAGGTGACATCTCTGAGCAGTTGTGAAGGAAGCCCTTAGGCTCACTGATACACTGCCACACACCCTCAGGTGCCCATGTCCTTCCTCCAGCCTCCATGGCCCATCCCAGCTGCTCCTGAGCCCACCTAGACAGTCCCCCCATCACAGAGCCTGGAGCCATAATGTGCAGGTGGAGACAAAGGGTATACTTAGCCCTTGAACTCCTTCCCTCCCTCTCATCTTTCCCGTCCTCTGTGCTCGTGGAGTGGATTCTCTCGAGGGCAGAGCGGTAGAGCAGCAGGAGAGAGAAGGACCAATGGAGGAGAGGAGGGTTGCAACCTCACCCCAACACATGCACATGTGCACCCAGGCCTTAGCCACAGGGCTCAACGACCAGAATCTTGTGTCCTTTGGTGAAGGGAAGAAAGCTGAGGTCTCCCTGGCCCCAGAGCTAAAAATCAACCAGGAGTGAAAGGAAGAAGGTGCCTCTTATCCAGCTAAGACGTGTCAGGAGCCACAGAGCTGGCGAGGCAGAGATGCCCCCGGCCCTGAGACAACAGCCTGACCTGGGTCATCCATAATCAATCAGCCAGCACAAACTTATTGAACGCCCTCTCTGTCCCCAGCACGGTGCCGAGGGCCGTGGGGAACACAGCAGTACTGCCCCTGACGTGGAAGCACTTTTAGGTAGCTAGTCGTGCACCCATGAGAAGGTAGTGAGCAACCCAAACACACATAGGCCCAGTGAGAGACAGGAAGGGTCGCTGCCACTGGGTTTTAGGAGCACTGTCAGGGAGCACCTGCCCGGGGAGGTGAGATTCAAGCTGGTGCTGGAAGGATGGGTAGAACTTGGCTGAGCACAGAGGAGGACACTCCGGGCAAGGAAACGGCAAAGGCAAGGGCACCGTGCAAGAAAGATGCAAGGCACAGTCCAACCAGGGCAGGAGCCGAGGGCACAGGTGGGAAGTTCCTGATGGCAGAAGATCTGGAACATCCAGTGCAGGACCAAACCCTGCAGGCTTCAGACTTGCACCCCAGGAGACAATGAAGGTGTTTGAGCAGCCAAGTGACATGGTGCGAATGGTGTTTTAGGAAGATTGGTCTGACAACTGTGTGAAGGATGCAGACCAGAGACCAATTAGGAGGCGATTCTAACAGTTTCAGCCCGAGGTGATGAGGGCCTCGAACAGGAGGTGGCAGTGGCCATGGACAGGAGATTGTTGTCAGAGGTCTTGTAAAGATGAATCAGCAAGATGTTGGGGACAGTTGGAACACGAGGAGAGTGGCCAGGCCAGTATAAAGTGACCAGCCTGACTTTTCAGGCATTGTCATTGGGGAAAATAATTAAAGTAGCCACCTTTATGGCAAGATGCATGTTAATACTCCTTTCATTCTTATAATAACTCTATGGCCTAGGTGCTATTAATAGCCCCATTTTACAAATGAAAAAGCAGAGGCAAGAAAAGTGATTTAACTTGCCTGAGGTTGTATTTTAAGTGGCAGAATCAGGATTCGAACTCAGACAGTCGGGATCCAGCGTCCTGTACTGGCCAGTTCTGTGCCCTATGTAAATAAAAGAAGTGACTGCTCTCCAGGCCCGTCAATTTTCATGTCTCCATTCAGAACACCTGAGATATTCCCTTTCTCCTGGCCCTGTCCAGCAATAGTATAAAGAAAGTATGAGAATAGAGATTTCTTTTTTTCAGCTTTACCTTGGACCTTGTCTGGCCTAACCCTTGGAGTTCAAGGCTAGAGCTTAGAAACGACTCCATCAGGTATGGGGAAGCTTGGCGCCCTGGGCCTAGATCCTCCCTGGGCTTGCCCAGCCCTCTCCCAACCCATCTCCCTCCCACTGGCAGGCTGACCAACATTCCCTCCACAAGCACGGGGTCACTCCAGATCCCTAAGGCCCAGCCTGGAAAAAGCAGGCTAGTCTGGGAACAGAGACCGGCATGGGTTTAATGAAACCATCTGATTTCCAAAGAGTAATCAGTAAGCTGGGTGGGACCGGGCTGGGAGAGAAGAAATGCA